TTCGGATAAATATTTTAAAAGACGGAAAACACTTCCTGGAGGACTAATGAGTGAAGACACTTTCTGAAGCCCTAAGAAAATCTAAGTAAGAGGACAAAGATATTTTCGGGTCTAAAGGCTGAAGTGACATCTCAGAGATCGGGGTTGAATATATTCTCAAAAGTCTAGAGGCTTGGAAACTGAAGACGAGTCTTAGAGGCTGAAGAGACTTCCTAGTTATGAATCTTGGGAGAAGTGCTTTCTGAAGATGAGTCATGGAGGTTGAAGACAGCACTTACCGGAGGCCTGGTGACTGAAAATACCTTTTGGAGGTTTAGTGACTGGAGGCTAAAAAATCTAATTTAAGGCTAACAGATGAGGATATATCAAAGAGCTGTGTGATACTTGATTATTATTTTTTCCATTAGAGGTTAGCTCTTGATGGTGTAGGATCATGCACGTCTGGACGCTGAAACCAATTCTTAGAAATATGTAAATACCCAGAACTGTCTTTTTCGCTCTTATTTGGCCCAGACTAACTTACTCAGAAAGCGGCGCTTTGGCGTAGGGCGTGTACACACACAAAACAACAACAACAATGTATGATTGGTCTAAATATTTTTTAAAGGTCACAAAGCTACAGTTAGTTGCTCAGCTGGTGTAGGACCAACATGAGATATATTCATACTTCTTATGAATATATACAATGACGACCTCCACAGTTGGCAACTGAATGCGAGATCGATGATGATGTACTTCGGGACTCCGTTGTAATCTTTTGGTAGATAACGCGTAGTGCCATCTCTCACAGCAGGCAGACAAATGTGGGGTCAATGTGTGTCATCATTCATGAGCTGATTCACGATGTTAATGTGTGGTAGTGTGTCACACATGTTGTGGAGCAGCAGAGAGCATGAGTGATGCTGGTGGGGACACTTGGTATTGATCTGCCGCCACCACCAGGGAGGCGCCGCCGCTTGTTTATAATACTGAGGTGTATGTCTTCTTATTCTTCCCTTTATAATTGTCCTCCTGCACTACACTGCGGGTCTCCTCTTATCGTCTGTGGCTTGTGTCAGGTCAGACATTGAATTGTATCTTATTGTTTTTCTTCTCATCATTAATTACTTTAACGTTGTCATCAGAACTTTAATGAAGTATTTATGTGTTACTTTTTTCCTCGTAAGAGTCTGTGTTATTTTCCGTATCTTGTCTCTCACCATTGAGTTATTAAGGCCAGGTCAAAGGAGATTCTCGTCCTCTACAAATAAACATGTGAGTATTTTGTACAGGAACAGCCTCGAGTTGCTACCCAAGACAAAATTTCGCAAAACTAACACAAGTACTGTACATATATATACACACCTTTAAATAGTCCAAGACAGTTTTACAGTGTTTTACCATTTACACTGACGACCTTACAGTGTAATGGTAGACAACTGTTGTGTTTTGTCAGGTCTCAGTGTTGGTAGTGTTGCTTCCTCACTTGTATATTAAAATCAGTGTTACATGGAGGGTTGTACTGTTGCCTATTCTCTCCATGTTTTGTTTTGTTTTCAATATATGTCGTCAAATTTGTTCTGTACGTTGTTGTCACTACTTCGTGTAGTTATTGTTTCGCTGGTATTGTCACTATTTACAATTATATATTACTGTTGTCTGTCTTGTTATCCTCCCGTCCGTCATCCCCTCCCGTCCGTCATCCCCTCCCGTTCGTCATCCCCTCCCGTCCGTCATCCCCTCCCGTCCGTCATCCCTCCCGTCCGTCATCCCTCCCGTCCGTCATCCCTCCCGACCGTCATTCAGTTTTCTTTCCATATCAGCACTGCCATAATTCATCTTGTTAATGTTGTCAGCATTATGTGGTGTCAGTGTTGTCAGCATTATGTTACTTACTTCATAATTATTATCTCCAGTAACTTTTATTAATGTTTTTAATTTTCTATTTTGTGAATAATTTTTTGTTTTATCAGTATTACCAGTGTTGTATCTTGTCAGTATTACCAGTGTTGTATCTTGTCAGTATTACCAATGTTGTATCTTTTCAGTATTACCAATGTTGTATCTTGTCAGTATTACCAATTTTGTACCTTTTCAGTATTACTAATATATTGACAGTATTACCAATGTTGTATCTCATCAGTATTAACAATAATGTATCTTGTCAGTATTACTAATTTTATATCTTGTCAGTATTACCAATTTTGTATCTTGTCAGTATTACCAATTTTATATCTTGTCAGTATTACCAATTTTGTATCTTGTCAGTATTACCAATTTTATATCTTGTCAGTATTACCAATGTTTTATCTCATTAGTATCAACAATAATGTATCTTGTCAGTATTACCAATAGAGTATCTTGTCAGTATTACCAATAGAGTATCTTGTCAGTATTGCTACAGGCGTGTCATATCAGTGTGTCCATTATTATCGCGTGTCAGTGTTGTCATATCTTGCGCAGGTTGATCACGTTAAGACGATTATATTAGTGTAACCAAACTCTTATGAGTAATTTAATGCTTTATTACTATATTAATCAATGCCAGTCAGAGTTACAACATTTTACTCTCGTGTGGACGGATTTTATTTATTTTTTATTGGTAATGTTGCAGTTGGTGTGAACGGTGGTATTTTCTCTTATATATTATTTATAAATTTATGTTATTTATTAATTCTGAATATATAAGTGAATGGGTAACAGGTGATGTTTCTCGGACTTGGTGTTTTATTCTGTGGCAAGCGAGAAAACACGACTATTTTGGTGTGTTAAAATTATATGATAGGAAATAAGAATCTCTCTCTCTCTCTCTCTCTCTCTCTCTCTCTCTCTCTCTCTCTCTCTCTCTCTCTCTCTCTCTCTCTCTCTCTCTCTCTCTCTTCCTAATTCACCCTTTATATTTGACGTACAACAATAATGTAACAGTTCGTGCTGAATGATTAGGTTTGAGTTGACCATTTTAGTGTATGATGTTTTTAACGAGTGTCTACTGTAGGGTGGAGACAGTCGAGTGGACTAGTAATGTTAATTTATGCTTGGGTGAGTCACATGTGGATGAGTCAGGTAGGTGAATGTATTAAGGTGGGTGGTGGATGAGTCAGGTAGGTGAATGTATTAAGGTGGGTGGTGGATGAGGCAGGTAGGTGAATGTATTAAGGTGGGTGGTGGATGAGGCAGGTAGGTGATGGATGTATTAAGGTGGGTGATGGGTGGTGGATGAATCAGCTAGGTGAATGTATTAAGATGGGTGGTGGATGAGCCAGGTAGGTGAACGTATTAAGGTGGGTGGTGGATGAGTCAGAATAGGTAAATGGAGTCAGGTGTATAGTGTATTTGATAATGAATAAGTCGAATACACAAGTTGAAGATAGTGATATATTAGTAATTTGAGTCTAGTCAGCGTGTTAGTGAATGTCAGTACGTAACATGAATGTGAATGATGCATATATTAGTTCGGATGAATGGTGGATGGGTAAAATACATCACTTGAATGTATAAGAATGGCTGAGGGAGGTGAGTGGTTGTGGTGGTTTGGAGGCTGGGTGGAAGGTGATGTGCCTGTCTGTGAGGAGTGATCGATGTGTGTGTGTGTGTGTAATGACGTCACAGCCGCCCAGTCGTATCAGCTGGTGCCGACACGCTGATGTAGGTCATTCTCTTCTCCCACCTCTCCTCGATGGTCCTGGACTCTCCAAAGTTGCTTACTACAATTTCTCCTGGTAACTGAAGAAGTAAGAACGCACTTAATTGGTACACTTAAGCTAAAGTTTTAGTTAAAAGTAAAACGAAAACATGAGAGATAAACTGAGACTTTTATAACTAGATAGGTTCACTTATAGTCTAGTACCATTAAAGACATGACATTTAGGTAGTGAGTCATTTACCGTTATTGTGTGCCCTAATATTGTTCTTAGTGACCGTGTCTGCTATACAGTAGGTAGTCTCACTGTAATTTTGATGTTATTTTTTCAAGTATACGTTGTGAACTGTGGTTATAAAAGAGTCAGTTAGATGCATTCAATCATTTTCAGTTTGGAGGAACGTTTATCTTACTAACCTTTGTAAAGACAGACTTGGGTGTTCTCAAAAGTCTCGTGCGTTATTTCTTTTCCATTACTGAGAATTTGGTAAGACATGTAACGTGAGCGACCATCCACAACCCTTCACAGCCCACCATAGTTTTGATGAGAACACTCGTAAAAGTGAGTGATTTAAACATTCATCCAATACTGCTGTAAAGAACCTCTCAGTGTACTTAACGTTAGGTTACAAATTTATTCCACTATCCTCGTCGAAAGTTGGAGAATTATTTTTTTCTCCAAATTAAACCTCGTTTGAATAAAATTTCCTTTAAGATTATTAATGCTAATGACAGTTTTATGCAAGTTAGTTTTTTATGATATTTTAGTTGTGGGATTGGACAAATAATCCTAGGCTTGGCATCTTTTCTTTTCATTCTATTAATTTAGAAACTACAGTACAGTACAGTGCAGTACAGTACAGTACAGTACAGGCACAAAGATTGTAAATCTGCTCAGTAACAGTTTGTTATATTATGCTTGATATATATATATATATATATATATATATATATATATATATATATATATATATATATATATATATATATATATATATATATATATATATATATATATATATATATTAGTACTTTTTTATGTGGGGGTATTCTCTAGTTTATAGAAAGTATACAGTACTTGTAGTCATATTATATTTCACTCATACCACTTTTGGTACGTAAAGGTACGTGTAATTCACATTCAACCTCTTACAAACAGAGAGTAAAGGCAGGTACCGTATATATTTTACTTCTTATCTTGTACGTACAGAAAATAAATTCCCCTATATATTTCACAGTCTAAAATTCCGTGTATTCTGCACTTTGAACCGTCTATTGTTCCAGTTATTTGGGGAAAAAGAGACGAGGAAAAAGTTTACGGTGCATGTTTCCATCGTTGACAAGTATACACACTTTAATTTCCCTCTTGTTTTCATCTTAGGAAAGAATGGCGGCGTCCCGGCATCGATACTTTTGGGTCTTTCAGGACCTCCATGCCTGCTGATGTACTTTTCTGACCTCCCACTTGTAAGTGGTCATGTATAGTGTTTATAGTTGGCACCATAGCTGTTTAGGATATATATATATATATATATAGAGAGAGCTATATATAGCTCTCCCTACATATCTGATTATTTTTCATTTTTCACATTCAATATTCTGGGGTTCAGAGTTGACAAGTCACTGATAGTTGGCCCTGGCTGGCACACATTAAACGTCTTCTTGACACACGGGCTCCAAAAACAGCATCGCGCCGACACCGAACCCCCTTGTGACATGACCCGCTCCACCATGATAGGAAGGTGTGCTGGCATCAAAATTGCAGCCTCGGAAAACGTTAACATGTTTAGATTATTCTATGGGTAGTAGAGAAGCTGTTGTTGACGTGGTGGGTGTGTCGGCGTGTATCAGGTGGCATGGCCGGGGGTAGACATTACTGTCCCCCTCTACCACCTATCCAGCCACCACACCTACCTACCTACCTACCTGATTACATTTACCACCCACCCATATGCCTTCTCACAGGTCTGTCACCTGATCCCCCCCTACCTCTCTCTCTCTCTCTCTCTCTCTCTCGGCACCCCACCAGTGACCTCCTCCTCTACCTTTTGAACTGTTCACTTAACTCAGCGTATTTTACTTGACTGGGTGTTGAGAGAGATTCATATTTTTAAATACGTAAATCAAACGTACGTACGTGTGTGTGTGTACGCGCGTGCGCGCGTATACGTGTGCTTGCGTGCGCGCGCAAATTGGCGAAGGCAGGCAGGAGGGAGAGTGGGCGGACGGGCAAGCGAGCGATATGAATCAACCTATTTTTCGTCGCTAAGTTGACTTTTTTTTCCCCCCGTCAGGGTTGTATTTTCGGATACTATTGATGACGTCAGTGGAACTTTATGCATGACGTCAGAGGGAGGAGGGAGGCAATATTGATTTTGGGGTCAAACGATGATAAGGTTCAAGTCACTATGACCCAAAAGAAAGTCTATTAGTGTTTCATGCGATAGCCCGTTCACTACATCTCCGAACTTGACCAAACTTCGTGCATCACTTTTGCTGGGAACGTGATGTAACTTAAGGACCTTTTTCTTTTAAGGTGGAAAGGTCAAGGACACCGTGACCCCCGAATGACTTGCTAGATAGAATAAGGAGACAAAAGGTGGCCCCGGGGTGGGTCGCGGGAATTTGTGAGAGAGAGAGAGATTAGGGATTACCTGTTGAGGGGTGGGGACTGGGGAGGAAGGAAGAGGGTGTGGGCGGCTGGTGGTGGTGTGAGAGTGTACCACCAATAGGGAGGGAAGGTGAGGAGCGGAAGGTGGAGGTGGAGAGAGGGCAGAAGAAAGGGAGGGGTGGGGGATTGAAGGGAAGGCGAAGTACGGGAGTGAAGGAGTGGAGGGAAAGGGCTGGTAGGATAGGAAGGAGAAGGGCGGGAGGAGAGAGGAAGGAACAGGAGGGAGGGAAGCGGAGGGTTACTCTTGGTCAATATTGATGATGAAGGTGGGCGTGGTCCCCGGCCCACCCCACTTGCTACATCCTCCCCCCTCCCTCTCTACCTCTCACGCACCACCCCGCCCCTCTTACCTCTCTCACTTAATCTCCTTTCTCTCGCGCTCTCTTTCATTCTAATATCTCACTCTCAAATTATCTCTCTTTGCCTCTCTCCCTACCCTACCCCGCTGCACTTCTCTCTCCTCTTTCTCTCCCTCCCCCCTCACCTCTCTCTTTCTCCTTTCCCTCCCACTCATCCACTTGCTAATACCACCCGCCCTTCCTGACTCTTTTGGTCCTCCCACTCTCTCTCTCTCTCTCTCTCTCTCTCTCTCTCTCTCTCTCTCTCTCTCTCTCTCTCGTTTGCCATTAGCGAGGTAAATAAAATTTTCTTGTGGTAATGAATGTGTTCGCCTTGGGGTCTCATCACCCGTGTTGTTGTCGGCAGCTCACCTCCTCTTCCTGGCTTCTGGGAGGTTGAGACCAGGCGCAGGTCATCCTCGAGCATCTTACTTGAGTAGTTGGTTATTTAGGGGACTTATTAATGACGAGATTTAATTTATTGAGAGACTGGTTGATTAAAATGCTAGTTAATTAAGATTTTTTTTTATAAGTTCAACTCAAGATGTTACACTCAAGACTTTAGCTGAGATGGAGGTTGTGCTCAAGATTTCACACGTAAGTCCTAGATTCTTTGATAAATTTGATCACATTGTCGGTAGATGAGTGCAGTGTCGAGAGTATACGGCTCAACACACTGGGTAGACCGGTTCATTTGGTAAAAGGATGTGAGAGCCTTTGATTATGATGACTTGGACCTCTTCACTACAGTGTCATATATTCGGAATAGGTTATCGTTCTCAGAAGATTCACCTACTGTACTCTAAGTGTTAACTCATCATACTCAAGGGGCTAAACAAATTTTTTTCATTGGTGTAAATCACGATGATTTGTACCAATGAAAAAATACTTTAACCCCTTGAGTATGACGACTTAACACTTAGAGTACAGTGGGTTGGCATCACTCATGGGATTGCAGGCAGTCTTGCCATAGAGAAAGCTATTTCAACGAAAAAGGGAGTCCTTTTACTGGAAAGTTGAAGAAGGACCTTAAGACAAGATTGGTGAAGACTTTGGCGTGAAACACAAGTCGTGTTTGTTTCTTACAGCTGGACTGAGAAGGTGGAGTTGATGAAATTGCCGGGCTTTTGATGCATGAAACTGGAGAATACTGAAGTAAGTGTCACGGACAGAAAAGAAAACCAACGCGGAAGTGATGCAGTTAGTTGAGAGGAGAGGAACCTGATGGAGGCCACCAGAAGTAGGAGGCAGACTAGCGGCTGGGTGTCATTTTGTTTGCGGTTCCATCATGGGAAGATTTGTTCTGCTGGAGTTTCGCTTTAACAGAGAGAAAGGATGAGGGAGAGAATGTCAGTGCTTGATGTTGTCAAAGACGGAAAGAATTTGGGAGAGCTTAAGAGGAAGGCCGACGGGACCCCCTGAATCATGTGTTTGCTGATTTATAACAGTTGTGAGTCATACAACGAGGGAATATGCCTGGCGTTAAAACAGATTTACAACTGTTTTATGTTTTAGTTGAAAGGGAATATGTTTGGTGTATCTTGACATTGATTTAGAATTGTTGTGAGTCATATTTGTGAGGGAATGTTTTTGTTAGGGTTGTATTAACTTCTTTACAACTGTCTCAAGTCATAGCGGAAGAAAACTCACTGACTCAAGTTGTGTGGTGAGCTTAGTGTGGTTGTGTACAGAGTATTTCATTACTTCTCTTGGGTGGAGGGAGGAGTTTGTGTGAATGGTCGAGGGAGTTGCTGTTGAGTGTTGGCTGGGTGGGTGTGGCGTGTGTAACCTGGTGTATAGGGCTTCCCCTGTCCCTCCCACTCTCATGAGTTGCCCCTCCTACCCCTCCTGCCCCTCCCACCCCTCCTGCCCCTCCCACCCCTCCTGCCCCTTCCACCCCTCCTGCCCCTCCTATTCTAGCCCTAGCATGCCTCTTGCACATGCGCCTCGTTACGCCATACTATGTTGTATCTCGCTGCTTGAGACTCCGTACTGTGAGTCTCTCTCTCTCTCTCTCTCTCTCTCTCTCTCTCTCTCTCTCTCTCTCTCTCTCTCTCTCTCTCTCTCTCTCTCTCTCTCTCTCTCTCTCTCTCTCTCTCCTCTCTCTCTCTCCCTCTCTCTCTCTCTCTCTCTCTCTCTCTCTCTCTCTGTGTGTGTGTGTGTGAGGTAAAGCAAGGCAGTGTGTCATGGTGGAGAGGTGTCGCCACACCCACACTGAAATTACCCCACACCCACACAGTCATTACTTAATGCTGCCGCCCACGCCATAAAATATTACGTGGCTCCAGCTCAAACATTCAGAGCCCAGACGAACGGTCGCTCGCTTCTGCTCTTAGTGGTGTTAATCAGTTTTTTTTGTGTGTGTGTTGTACACAAATGGGAACATACGACACACGTTTGTGGTACACGCGATACAGGTATGTGTGGTACGCGCGATACAGGTATGTGTAGTGCATGGCACAGGTGTGTGGTACGCGCGATACAGGTATGTGTAGTGCACGGCACAGGTGTGTGGTACGCGCGAGGCATCAAAACTGGACCGGAAGGAATCCGAAACTGTAGAGTACGCAGCATCGTATGTAAAAAGTGTGCATAATAATAGTGGATGATGGCAGAGAGTGTTGTTCTTGACTATGGCCACACTGCGTCCTGCAGGAAAAGGCTTCCGAGAGCGGTTAAAAAAACTAGTATAAATGAGAAGGAAAACTTTCTTTTCATATTTAATTTTGGGCAAATAGCTTTCAGTCTTACTTGACATCTGTCTGTTTTAACATGACCATACATTCTTTAATAATATTTTGGCCAATATCATGAGGTTCTTGAAATGTGGTCAAAGATCTTACAACGTCAAAAAGTGTATTTTCAGTGCTCTTTGGTCATATATTTTCGGTCATAAGATTAAATTTGGCATACATGTATACAATGATACTATTTTTCACAAGCCCATTACACCCCCTAGCAAATCATATGGAAAATATATGTATGGTGGATATCATATTGCCTTGTAGGTATTAACGCATTTGATTATACTATGTCTTTATAGGGCGGCGGCAACGAGGGTACAGTATTGTCATCTGCCGGTTTATTAATGACTCGTTAACGTTATAATGTTATAACTGAGCTACAACAGCAAAAGCCTTTTAGGACGTAACAATGTTAGTAATTACACTAGTCCATCAATAATCATAAAATTATAAGAGATGGAACTCATTGTGTGAGTGACTCATGCACTCACCCAACTTGTAACTTGTTAAAGTTGGGAAACTTTACGGAGACACCGACTGTTATTTGGATAGTTTTCAGTCGCTGTGTATTAGAACCTGATGGAACGTACCAGCACTCGTGTCCACTTACCAAACTTGGCCTGATCGAACAAGATGCAGCATAACGTCACCTAAGAATAGCAGCGCTTACTAGGGTTAAAACCCAAAATAAAGTCGCCCAGCCAGAGTTCACCT